ATCGATTTTAGATCTTACCCTTCACAAATATTATGTCTATTAATCCAAATATTGGATAACTCTATAATGGTTTCGACGTAATCCCCTAAAGGAATGTTCTTATTAGTGATGAGATATTTATGTTATCCACCATTTTTATAAAAACAATAAAATTTATTTATTATAATATTTTTTATGTTAATCACATCATTCCTTTAATCTATTTTTTCAATATGTAAAGATAAACATTATAAGAATATTTAAAATTATTGATAGATTTTCACTAGCAAAAATAAATCTGTCAGTAAATCTAAATTTAGTGACAAATATTATCAATAAATTTTAAAATTTCAATTATCGATAAATATTTTTAAAGATAATGAATATGTCAATAACAAATCCATTGACAAGATCAATCGATAAATTAGAATTTGTATTAACGGTAAATATTTTTATCTGTTACTTATTCAATGGTTAATTATGTTGGTACATTTTGTCAGTAACTTATAATTTCAATTATTGATAAAAAAAAATGATGTGAGAAATTGTACGGTGATAGTTTTGTAAATATTGAAAATCATAGGTTTTTAGGTCCAATCAATGTAATATCTCTTGAAAAAAAATTATATTAATATGTATTTTTAATAGAAAAACATGATATTACATCAGTTGTTCAACATAATTGATGTAATATACCTTTTAATGCATTTGTGGTCTCTTTCCTTTCATTTCCACAACTTTTCATCCTTTTTTGCCCTTGTCTTCTCTTGTCCATTCTCACACCTCTCTCATTTTCGTTTCCTCTCTTCATAAGAACCTTCACTAAACCTTACGTTTTCGCCTTCCATTCTTGCCCTAACCCACAATTGTTGTAGTTGCATTCAAGAAGAACGGAGCCCTTGTCGTCGTTGAAAAGCTTTATCCCTACTGTTTAGAAAAACTTTGTTGGTTTCGTTCTTCCCGCTAGTTTCACTAACGCCACCCTTTAGCTTTGAGAACTCTCCACACCACACCATTATTTTGGTGTGAAGAAGGTGTGATAGTGTGAAGCAAATGTGACCACTACTTTGAGTTGAACCCTAGTCTTCACCTCGGTCATGCGAAAGAGTTGTCATCGCTGTTGTGCGAAGGAGGTGCATGCAAGAAGCATTTTCCCTCTATCGCTGTTGAGAAGACTCTATCTCTTCAACACTAGTTTTAGTTTCATCCTCCCTCCTCACACTCGTTTCACTGTGTAGGATCTACACACCACGATGTTGTTCTTGTGTTACAAAAGAGGTTTCACAACACCCTAGTCGTTGTCACTACTTTTTTATTGAACCATAAATTCCATCGCTAGCTAGCTGACATTGAACCTTAGTCGTAGTCGCTTGAACCTTAGCTTGTTTCGCAACATCTTGCTTTTTTTTTAAAAAAATCAAGACATATAACATTGCTTCTCAGAAATCGATGTTATATGTGTTCCACTTATTACATCGTCTTAGACAACATTAATTTCTAAAGATGTAATATGTCCTATGTAACCAATGTAATATGTCATTTTTGTAGTGTGATGGGTGTGAAAAAGAAGAGAAGAAGATAAGGAGGAGAAAAAGGAAGTGGAGGGGGTTAGAGTCGATGGGAGTAGTGGAGGTGTGGCGGCTGCTCAGTGGTGACACAAAGGTATGACGACAGTGGCTGCCAAAGTTAGAGGAGGAGGGGTAGGAGGAGGAGGAGGAAGAGAAAAATGAGGATGAAATGAGGAAAAGGATAAGTTGAAGGTGACAGAGGTGGACGCGATGACAATGACAACCATGGTGGAGGCATTGTGAAGAGGAAATGAGGAAGAAGAAGAAAAAAAAGGAAAAAGAAGGTGAAGAGGAAGAGGAGGAAGAAGACACAATTTCATTTTTATCGACAAATTTTTTTACAGCCAAAATTTGTTTATAGTTACTTTGAAATTGTTCATTTAGACTTTGAGATTACTTTGGTCTACCACAATGAAGTATCAAATCCTTAAGTCAATATGCCATAAAGAAGATGGAGATGCAATTTGAAGAAAAACTTAATAAAAGATGTCACCCTTAGAGTAAAGGTGTTAGCAAAATCTTAAAGAATAGTTAGAAAGAAGACTCAAAAGAAAAGCTTCAGTCCATAGGTAGGTAACAATAATAAACTTAGGAAGTAGCAATTGAAGTTTTTGACCGACATTGAGTGAGCACAAAAGGCTTATGTTGTACTACATATCATATTGATAAAAAAAGTGAGTAGGAGTTATATGTTAATGAAGATCCTTTGTGTGTAGTTGTAATATGACGATAAATTGAAGGATGAGAAACAATCCATGTGTTTCTCTAAAGCTGGACTACATGCATGTGCCAATTGTTAAAGCTCAAGATCTTAATGCTTGAGTGCCTTTACAAACTTTAGAGATTTAATTCGTAAGGGAGACCATTGACAAATTTATAGCTTGGCCTAAAAATATGATGTGGTCATACTTTTCCTGACTTGCAGGTATTACATTGTTTTTTTTTTCAAGTATTTTTATGTTACAATTTATAAATAAATGCACTAAACATAATAATGTTGTGTCTTTTTTTTAGTCCTTCAAGAATAATTTTAAAAAGAAATTAAAGCATAATTGGTTTAATAAAATAAGAGCTAATTTTTGGATTATTTTTTTTCTAAAATATCATATAATGAAGAATATAAATAATGTTAACTTACGTGTAAAGCTAACTATTTCTTTTCATAATTAAGTTAAAAAAATGCCATATCAAATGAATTGTTTGTTTTTAGTTGACCATTAGATTTAATAACAAAGTTGCCAACAGAAGAAGTAGAGTCACACTTTCTCAATCTAAAGTCATCTCATTTACCATTATTTAGTCTCCATCAGTCTATCAATGACAATTACAAAAATTCTAAAATATTATTATAAAATTATTCATCAGTAATCTTATGTTGGAAGTCTCACATCGACTAGAGATAAGGCCGATTTATAACATAAGTCAGGTGCAAACCTTACCTTACAAGCCGGTTTTGTAGGGTTGAGTTAGGCTTAAAGCCCACTTCTTAATATGGTATCACAACCATGGTTAAAGCCTACCCTAGAGAGTTCTAAGTAGGCATTTCTGTTTCCACCCGTTGTCAGGCCGCTATTGGACCACCCATTAATTTCTATTATCATGCATGATATGTCTATACCTCGACTTGAACGGGGTGAGTTAGGCTTAAAGCCCACTTCTTAATATGGTATCAGAGTCATAGTTGGAGTCTATCCTAGCGAGTTCTCTTAGCGAGTTCTATGTAGGCATTCTATTCTTCTATTCCACCCGTTATCGGGTTGTTATCGGACCACCTAATTTCTACTATCACACACAAGATGTCTATACCTCGGTGTAAAGAGGTGTATTGGAAATCTCACATCGACTAGAGATAAGGCCAAAATATAATATATAAGTGAGGTGTAAACCTCACCTTACTAGCCGATTTTGTGGGGTTGAGTTAGACTTAAAGTCTCTTTTCTAATATGGTATCATAACCATGGTTAGAGCCTATCCTATCGAGTTCTAAGTGAAAATTTATGTTTGCACCCGTTGTCAGGTCGCTATCGAACCACCCATACTATGACGCACGAGATGTCTATATCTCAGCGTGTGAAGGGGGTGTATTGGAAGTTTCACATCGACTAGTAAGACCAAATTATAATATATAAGTGGGATGCAAACCCCACCTTACAAGCTGGTTTTGTGGGGTTGAGTTAGACTTGAAATCCATTTTTTAATATCTTATTTTATTTATACGAGTCATGTTTAATATTATTATTTTAAACTTCAAATTGTAAATCTTTAATCTAATGGTGTCCTTTTTGGTAAGAGGACAAAAAGAAACAACTCGCTCGATGTAAGAAACTTTAAAAAATTAACAAAATTTTATGATTCAAATTTCTAAATATACAAATAGCAGTATAATGGAATATCTAAAGTGCTGGTGGATAAATGAAAAATATTTTTTTGTCTAATAAAATTATAATATATTTAAAATTATACACATGCCCCTAATCATTGATTTTTAAAATAAAATTACTTTAGGGGATTCTTCAGCTTAACGTTGAAGCCACGTGTAGTGTGTTGCATGAAAGCGACAAGGAAAAACTTGCTTACACAAAATCAAAATAAAATTGCAATTGACGAAGTAGAAAGAAGGTAGTTGAAAAAGGAAGCGCGTGGTTTGAACAGCACTGTATCACAGTGAAAAAAAGTGTAACAGCATTGTAGTGGAATATTTAGTCCATTCTGTAACGTTATCTTGGTCAGTATCTTACAGACACATTGTAAAATCCGAAATTACGCAGAAAGCAAAAGAAGAGCAAATACCCAATCTTTCTGTCATTATCTCTGCTTTCCTTTGTGCTTACTCATTCTCCCCACTTACTCACTCATTTCATCTTTCGTCCGACTGAACTCTCTCACCAAGTGATGTTCACTCACTACTTATTTGACTATTCCCTGCTATCCATTTCTTCAGTTTTATATGGCCAATTCAGCTGCATAACGCCACATGAACATGACAAAAATACACACTACAGACACTTTCTTCAAATTGCCTTCCACTCAAAATTCCAATAGGTATCATTTTTCTTCATTGTTTTTTCTCTTGCACTTGAATTATTACTCTAGTGGGACCTTAAGCTATGCTTGTTATCATATAATGATCCATGAAGATTGTCTTGCTTTCTCTGTTTCGTTTATTAACCATACTTTGTTGCCTCTCTTGTTTTTAAAGAATTTTGACTGTTAAATATTTGTATATTTCGCTTATTCAGAAGAGGAAAGTGGGGTTTTTACAGGAGTTTTATTGTCCCATTGGTTTCCTAAGCAACAAAAATCAAAACTTATATAACTAGAATCAGTGGAATGTTTGTTTTTCCCGTCTCACTCGCTCAATAGACCATTACGGAATTTTCTTCTCTGGTTAAAGGCTGAGAATTTGGAAAGTCATTTGAGTTATCTATAGCTGTTATCGTGGGTTCATTTTGGTTCAAATTTTTCTTACTGGTTGCATCACTGTGCTCCTCTGGTCTCGGTTTAAGTACCGTTGGATGAAAATTTGAACCAGAGAATTTTCTGTTTAAATTGTAATTTAAAGTGTAATGATCTGGTTCTTTCATCTTCTATTTTCCAGATTTTCTTGATCGAATAGAAGGATTTGGATATCGCATCCTTTTTATGCTGAAATTAGTATTATGTGATATTCCCGTGATTCTTGAACTTATTAATGAGAGCGATTGCATAAAAGAAAGAAAGAAAGTGTTCAGTTGATGTTGCTGTGGAACATGATGGATGAAAGGAAGTTGAACATTGATGCTCCTCTTATGTCGGTGAGACGCTCTTTTGGTACACCTCCATCCTTAACTGAAACAACTAGAAGGATGTTAGAGAAGCCACAAACACTTCCACTCTGTGAATCAGACACCACTTTGGATCAGGTAACAGACCCTGTTGCAGTGCCTTTCAACTGGGAGCATATTCCTGGAAGGTCGAAGGATTATGATGGATCTGAACTTCAACCTCCTGAACAGGCTTCAATTGTCCCAACCCCAGCTCTTCCTCCTGGAAAGTCCACAAATCATGCCAAACGATCATTGAAAAAGGACACTAATGTTGCAAATAACTTTAGATCCCCAAACACATCAAATTCTTTTAGTGAGAAAATACAATGGGACAGAGAAGGTAAAAATGTGAAAACAGAAAAGGTGGAAGATAACGATGACTATGATAATGATGACGATGTTTTTTCTGATGCCCTTGAAACACTATCACCTACTGAGCCATTGTCCATGAATTGTAGTGTAAGTGGTGTTAGTGGCTTAGATAATTTGGATTCAAATATGTGTGGAGCCTCTTCTACCGATAAACAAGCTCATGATTTCATGATGAGCCGGTTTTTACATGCAGCAAAGGCTGTGACAATCCAGCCTCCTCAATATATTTCTTCTAGAAAACAATCTGTTCTTGAAGAACAACCTAGGGAGTTCATCAAATTGGTTCCTGAGCAAAAGAAGTCATTTGTTAATAGATATATCACCGACATTGTACCATATAATGGTCAATGTCAAGAAGATGAGGAAGAGGAAAGTGGAGATGAAACTAATGATTATGCAAATATTTCAGCTAAAGGTTGCGGATTGCTTCCTCGATTATGTGTTAGAAATTCATTGTGCATGCTAAATCCAGTGACCGGGACAAAAATGGGGAATCAGTTATCATTGTATTCTGCCTATGAGGTTGGAAAACCTGATAAAAGTTCTCATATTCGCTCTCACAGACCAGCTCCAGTTATAAAGAAGGTATGAACTAAATAACATTTATTCCCTGTTCATCCATTGCATACTTCTGTGGTAATTGAATCATGAACTTTTGCTGCAGGCTTGGGATGCTATTAATATGAGGAAATCAAGCTCAAGAGCTGCATCACCCAATAAGCAGGATCTAAGGAAAAAATGGACCAGTGAATCAAGCAGGTATACTTACTCTGGCGAAATGAAACAGTTGGATAAGCTCTCTCCCTTTCGTCGTTCAAGAGCTGCTAGTGCTACTGACATATCTCCTTTTCCAAGTAAATCTCAATCTCTCCTTCCTGGAGTGAAATCGTTCGGTGATTCCAAACAAGCTAATAGTAATCTTTCTGACAAATTAAAATATCCTAGCAGAGGATCTGCAAGTATTCAAGACATGCTATCACAAGGAGCCAAAAGAAGCTCAAGTTCTGGGAGCTTTACTGTTGAAAAGACACTGTACATAGATACTGCGAGTACTCTAAAATCGTCATGCTCTAGTTCACGTTCACTAGGAAGCGCGACAGTGGCAGGAAAAGAAAGAAATTCCTTACTAGATTCTTTTCGAGATACTAAACATCTACATGCTTTGGACGAGAATTTGGGTTCTCAAGAGTTGAATTCTGTGGATGTCAATTCTTCAACTTTACCAAGAATGGTATATCTCATGGCCAAAGAAGATAAAGCTGAAAGAATGACAGCTGATCAAGAAATTAATCAAGAATCCACGTCCTTGCAACTTGTGCCAGGTTCATTTGACAAAGATGCAGAGATCAACAACCAACAAATTGTAGCAATTGATGATCAAGGAAATGTTGGCACCGAATACGTTCTGCATCCTCTTGCCCCTCCATTGCCAAAGTCACCTTCTGAGTCCTGGCTTTGTCGTGCCCTGCCTCTAGTTTCTTCTAAGAATTCATTCCCTCATAAAAATCAAGGTACACAATCCAAGTCTAAAAGACAGGGTTTTAGTAGAGCATCAAGCTATACTAAGTGGGAAACAATAGTGAAAACTTCGAACGTGAATCATGATCAAGTAACCTGTTCTAAGGTAAACTCTTTAATCCCTCGAGGCCTTAATCAATGGTTGAGTTACCAAAAGAATGAAAACTCACATTTAGCTTTTCTCTACAGGAACTAGTCGTGTATAGATCTCATCATTCGAAATCTTAGGCGTGGAACGCTGGCGTTTATACCATGTTATGATCCAAAGCTTTTTATGACCTTTATTTTTTCAGCCTCATGGGATTTGGTTCTCCTCCTATTGCTTGTTTGCATGACAGCATAGGTTAGATATTGGCCACTCATAAACTTTCATATCTTAGTTCCCATCTTCTTTTGAATTTTGTTTTCGTTGGTTGACTTCTTAAACTTGTTTCCTCATACCTTTTTCATTTTCTTCATGTCAGATTTTGCACAGGAATTAATATAACTTTTGGTGATAAATAAAAGCAAACAAAGCTTCTTTGGACTAGTGGTACTTTAGGTGAATTCAAAATTTGATAAGCAACCTCCAGAGGTTCATTCGCACTACTGTAGTGTCTTCCTTGTGGTTCTTCCTGAGAGCTTGCTCAGACTAACGAACCTTTGGTTTTTTTTATCTGAGCCAATCTTAAAACCGGTATTTTATATAAGGGAATGTATATATATAAATTACATTAGTCATTGCTGTTATTGATGTTGAATTGTTTCTTCTTTACATACAACATTTCATGCAAAAATCTTCTTATTAGCATTTAATCTGTCTTTTCTTCCAGTTTCTTAAACTCATTGCCAAGTATGAAAATCAAAGTATTTCTGATTTAGGGAGCTAGAGTACATATCACAAGCTTGATTATGTATAATAAGTTAAAAGGAAAAACTTATTGAAAAGACTGGTACAAGAGATATGTTTATACAGAAAAGGAATGGTACTTAATACTATTCAATTACGGCTAGTTTGTGACAGATATTTAACAAACAGAAAAACTTCTAATTTATAATACCCTTCTTCAAGCGGGAGAAAACGTGGTTTTGTATATTTCCCATTTGTGCGTGAGTGAAAAATTATGAAGTCTTCAATGCATTGGTGAAAAGGTCAGCCAACCAGTAATGATTTTTGATATGATCTAGTTTGATGATATTACATTGAATCAATACTGTGATGAAGTGATGGTTGATGTGAACATGTTTTGAATGTTCATGATTATGAGTAGGATTAGATGAATATAGAAAATTCACTGATTATTACATAAAAGTATAGTGGTGGAGAAATTTGAATCACAGAATGTTACGATAAAGATATAAGCCAAAATGTTTCATTGGTCATTGAGGATAAGACACATTATCTATAATAGATTTGAAAATAGTAGATTGTTTCTTTGTCTTCCACAATAATAAAGCATTTCTTAGAAAAACATAAAACTTATTTGACTTTTTTTTTTATCTAAGCAACTAACGTCAACATAGACAACAAGATTAAGAGAATTATATGTTGGAAAGAGAAATCCTCGACCAAGAGCTTATAGGAGGTATTGAAGCAAATAATACTATAACCTTTCTTAGATGCACCTTGAGCTGTTATCTTGATGTTGTAGAAGCTACTTTTCTTATACTATTTGCTATGGAATCTTTATGACCTTTCAAAAGACTATTTTGAGTGGTGCCAAAAGAAAAATACAAAGAAGCTCATGATAATTTCTATAACATTGATGAAGTGGATTTCCATTTATAGATCAAATGAATTAACTCCGTAGTGGAATTTGAACAAAATATTTTTCTCAACAACATGGAGGGTTAGAGGAATTTATGTATAATGTTATTTTATTTTGTTGGATTGGTCTTGCATATGTCTCACAAGTGTGGTTCAGAGTACAAATAATTACGTTTACGACTATGAAGTATATTTATATTTTGGTTAAGTATAGCTAAATAAAAAACAATATCACAATATTAAGCGATGTGAGACTAAAATAAGTTCTACAATACTAATAATTTTTCAGCAAAAGTATTTGAGTACCTCTTCGTACTACAATTTATTTTAATAGGACACGCTTACTTGAAAGTCTTTGTCAGAAAGACTTTTGATACATGGATCATTGTAATCAGCTAAGTCTAACCTGGAAGTATACTAATCTGGAAAAGATTCACCCTTGAAGAAAGAGATTGTTAGAACAAGTGTAAGTCTAAATCTCACATTGGATAGAAATGAGAAATTAGAATATTATATAAAGATGAAAATCACCCATTGATTTAAGGTTTTGGGTAAAGAATGATGTTAATCCGTGTGTGATTGGGTTAAGATGTTGTTATATCTTCCCCAATGATTTTCCTCATTGAAATATTTTATGATTAATTATTCTTTTTATTAGTAAGAATAATACAAAACATGTAAATGAGATATTAAACGAGCCTTCATGTATTGAATTACAATTGTTTTAAATTTTCTTTGCAATTATTTCTATTCAATACAACTTCCCTTTTTTTCAAGAAAGTAAGAGTTTATTCTCTAAAAGAATATAGATCCCCTTAAGAGAACAAGCATACACATTAAATGTTATGTCACTTATCATATACAATTATGAAAGAATTATCCACTCAACATTGGGACTTTAATAAAATACCGTTTTAAATTAGATGTGATATAAGAACATCAGTATTACTTGATTTTTGTTCTTCTGTAAAGATGAACAAATGAGTAATATATAAACCTAATTTTTTATATAATTATTTTACGTCACACACTTACGTACACACGTCCACACACGAAATCACTCACAAAAAATAGTTAAAGAATAAACTATAGATTTGACGAAGTGTAATACAATTTTTAATTTTGTTTGAAATTGTTTATATATTCACGGAATTAAAATATCATTAAAAACTTAAAGTACAATTTATTAAAATTATACTTATAAATTAAATTTAAATAAATTACATTGATCCCAATTTTATAAAATTTTACACAATCCTCTCATAAAGAAAGACACTGTATGATGAAAAGCAAAATCCTCTCATAAAGAAAGACACTGTATATGATGAAAAGCAAAATCCTCTCATATATATAGTAAGATGTCAGTAAATAATTTTTTTAATGACTCATTTACTTAAAAAAGTTTAATGAATAACCGATTAGTTAGAAGTCTAATATCTAATAAACTAACTTAAATATTTTCTTTTAAGATCATATCATATTATAAGGCGACCAAAACTATTTTTAACATTTTGAAAAAAGTAAAAATTTTGTATTGGTTGACATTAATTAAATAAATATTGAAAATAAATAAAGTTAGTGACATCTTAATTGTCATTTAATATTATTTGATTTTATTATTTATATTTATTTAAATTAGTGTTAATTATATAAATACTAATTTTATTATTTATTTAAATTAGTATTGATTAAAATAACATTAATATAATTTATTTTTTTAATATTTATTTAAATTAACATCTATTAATTAATTCTAAATTAGAATATAAATTTAAAATAAAAATGTATTACCATCATCTTGACTGACATTAAATTGTTTTGATTAAAATTCAAGTTAAAAGTTAGTGATGAATTTGTGTGAGTTAAGCTCGGACTAGTTAGAATATTGATCTTCAAAAAGTCGACACTACTAAATTAATTATATGATTTTAGGATCCTTGTGATATAAATTCAACATTATTTGACTTTTATTTATAAAGATTGATTCTTAAGTAAGACTAAATGTTTATTTCTTTTTAAGAATCCGTGTTCAACCCATAGTGTTTAATGTTACGTTTGTATATAAAATTCAACTGAATTCTTAGATTGACATAGGAATGGGTGAGATTGCCTTGCTATATATATTGGAGAGAGAGAATAAATAATTCAAGTAATATGCTCCCTTTTATAAAACGTAAAATAATCTTAAAACTTAATCTCAACTACACAGTAATATTCACCCTCAAAAGAATACTACACAGTATCATTCAACAAACTAAAATCACAATGCACTACTAAGGAAAAAAATTCCACGCTCATCATAAAACTCAGCTTGTGTGCAACTCAATACTAAACTTAAATCCATGCATTTTCCTACTTTAATCTTCTTCTCGGTAGGTAGAAGTAGCTCTTGCATTAAAGATCTGATTGCCATATTCTCAGTCTTGCTGAACTAAACTTAATTCACTGCATGTATTCACACAAAGCTTAAAGCAAAAACATGTTGCAATATTTGTTATTTTCTTCTCTCTCTTTCCTTTTACTTTGTGCCTAATCAAACCAAATATTGCACAAGAAAAAACTCCCTTACAAACTCACTCTCGTAATCACGATGATCACCATATTAATTTTACACTCAAATCCCATTTTTTATTGGTTTTTTCGGGTGTGAGGAGAAACCCTATGTACTTGCCAGCCCACACAATTCAGTGTTGTAGCGATATATAATTGTGTAATTTTGTTTTAGTATCGATATATATCTTCACTCAGACTGTATGAACGGCTAGGCTGTGGTATTTGCATTATACATTGACTTGGCTATAGATTCTATGAAAGTGAAAGTTTCGTGTTGATTTCTTGGGTTTCTCTGCAATGATCATTCTTCCCATCACTGTTGCCATCTCTCTGACTTAAACTCAGTCGCAGATCAGGCACCCACTGCTTCTCTTTCTGCATTTTTTCTTGATTCGACTGCATTTCATCAAACCAAATTCTATCAATGGTTTAGTAAGAAAAAAAAAATGCTTATATTACATCTTAGTGATAGATTTTTTCAAATTTTAGAGTTTAACTTTTCTCTTACTAGTTTCTAGTCTATAACAATTTTTAAAAAATGGTAAAAGCAAGTTCTTATGTTTCAAAAAGATTAAAAGAATCAGTAATTGTATGGAATTAAGATTAAAAATCGAAATAGAAAATGACATTTTCAAGAAGAAAATATATGCGATTGATGTTACCTTAATCCGAAAGGGAGGTTCAAATTCAGGATTGAAAGCGTTGGAATGGCTGCGATGCTCATCGGAGTTAGATAGATGTTCCCTGATTCTTGTTTTGTTTGGGAAGTTTAACTCAGTTGGTCTAAGAGATGGTGAAGTTGTGGAGCCAAATTGATGAAGCAGAACAGATTTTGAGTCAGTATTAGAAGGTAACCTTTTCTTCCAGGGGTGATTGTTCATGATTTCCAATGGAGGCCATCTTTTCTCTTCAAGAAATTGGCTTGGTCTCATGGGTGCAATGCTGGTAGCATCCATTACTTGAATTTGGTTTGAAGACATTGATCTTGCTTGCGTTTGTAAGGTTGCTGAGCCAACTTCGTTGCTGAAGTAACTTGGTTTTCTAAAAGGTTGATGATTGTTGAAGAACCATTGTTGGTGTCTGGTGATAGATATATTGCAGATTGGATTAGATTGGAAAACATTTGGAATGAAAAGGACTTAAAATGTTTGCATGGTTACCTTGAATCGATGGCTTTTGAATGTGAGTGTGATAGGTTTGAAGGATGCAAGAGACCATGGTAATAACTGTGATCGGTGTAATCACTTGCTAGAATAATTCCACCATTTCCCATCTTAAAATGTTGACGAGGATGGGTCACATGAGAAATACGACCAAGTTCGTGGGATGATTTGTATGTTTCACTTAATACTGCAAAGTGAATGTCGATGAATATATAGTAAAAAAGTTAAAATAACAATACCTAAAACATATCCAACCCTTGGTAACCAGAATCTCACTAACATACAATTTCTGACCAAAAACACAATAAATAAAGACATCATTGTCAGAAGAGAAGTCTCATGTTCGGATAAAATTTACTTTGATGTTCACCATGTTATAAGACAAAATGTTTCATTAGTAGATATATCAAAATCTATTTCTTTTCTTTAATGTTTGAGAAAAAAAAAGTGAGAAAAATTAAATTTTCCTTTAATATTCTCTTTGTAAATTATTTTTCTATCTTCAAAAGAAATATGATATTATTGTTTTATCTTGAAATTAAAGAGAATGATATCAATGCTATTATAATTGAAGGAAGCACAATACTAAGAGAACATTTATATGGATTATCTTGATTTTAATGTTACTTTGAAGTTGAAGGGAAAATAAAAAATAAAGATAAAATTTATTATTTATAAATAGGTTTTTCATGTAAGCACGTTACCTATAATTCCAGTACTACGATGATTTTTAATCTTAAAATTTCAAATAGATAGAGATAACAGATATCAAAATATTCTAAAACTGGCTATTTTCAAAATTAAAACTTTCTCCATAAAAAATAATTTTTAAGACATTTACCTTACAACTTTGTTTGACTCAACTGCTCCTGAAAAGAGAGACCCAAAATAAATTTGACCAACATCACTTGAAATCACTTCGTTCAATAATTTCTTTTGGATGCTTTTTTTGAGCTACTTAAAAAGCATGGCGTATTATGAATACACACGGATAATGAAAATAAGACCATCAGTTTCCCTAAGTATAATATTTTTAAAGCAAATTTGAATTCTTAATATAAACATTCTGCTTAGTTAAATTAATATAGTTTTGAATAGGAAATATTGAACTATACAATGTCTGCATAAAATAGTTTCAGTACAATGCATTAAATTAATTCTGACATTGTTTAAACTACCATTTCTATTTCCTAGTAAAGATTATACTTATAAGTTAAGAAAAGCCTAAGGACTAGCTTTATTTCTCAAGAAATTAATATACTCACTTACTTAATGAGTAAGTTTAACTCTAATTAAGTAATAACTTTTATAGAATTTAAATTTAACAGATATAATATTTGAATCGTATGATTTACTTTCATGACCATGTATGTTACATTTGAGATAATTTAAATATTTATATTTATCTATGCAATTTTATTTTATATATAGCCACATTTCCTATTGAAAAAACATTATATGTTAAAAATCTAACTTTTAAAGTATAACTATATTTCTCTCTCTCTCTCTCTCTGTCTATCTCTATCTCTTTTTCTCTTTTCGTTAGTGCTTACTTGTTTGGGTACACAAACATGCATTACTTAAATGCTGTAGTTGATTTTGCCTCCATAGACCAGTAGTTCCAACTTCGATGACACCAATGTTTAGTTTTCATATCCTAGTTGCGACGTGAAAAATATAATAAAATATAAAAAGAATACAAGTACGACACCCTGTCCACAACAATTTGTTAATTTCAATTCAGATAATGGTTCGATCTAAATCACACTTCAATTTTCTTTGTTTGAATAATGAAAATGGTCAAATTTGCATCCATTTTAAATTTGTAGAAGACGCCTAGTGTTGTAAAATAGAGTACTACTATCAGTAGTAAACATTTTCTTCATTGTGAACAATTATCTATATAAATTTAGTTCATGTATATTAATTCCATACTAATGTTTCTATGTATCATGCATTTAATTCCTTGATGTTTTCAAGAATTATATTTTTCAATATATATGTCCAATTTATCAATAATGTATTTAATTTGTTTTAACCCATTAATGAACGTGTGATATCTAAGCTGAGTGAGTATTGTTTCCATGTTCTCCGTTATTTATATTTTCTAGAGGAGGGTGATAATTTGGAATTTGTATTCTTCATTAGAATTTTATTCTGTTCTTGTGTTATAACTTTAAGATTGATGGACCAACTAGTGGGGATCCCTTTTCCAAATGACACATTGTTGCTGAAAACTTCTAATTATTAAACAACGGTTGAGCATTATATTTGATAATGAATGTACTGATTATAATAGAATTATTTAACCAAGTTTCATGATAATTGAAATGGAATTAGTAGTGAGCATGTCAAAGTCTGAGTATATGTGACATTATTCTCATTAATAAAGAAGAAAAAATCAATCTAAAAACTAGCCTTAAGGTTTAAGAATCATATACCATTTTTTATTTATTTTAATTAACGTGAAACTCTTAAAACTTTTACTTTCTTTAAAAGGTTGGTGTTTTTTTAATAAATTCATTCATCTATTATTTGTATTGTTCTAATTTTATAAGAGATTTTTTCGGCAGATCTTTTAATATTATTGTGCTTTAGTTTAGCCTTCTTATTTTAAAAAAAATGTTTTCTCTCCAAGAAAAAAAATGTATTTGATATTACACCTTATAATTAAGCATAAAATAGTTATTTCTGTAGTTTAAGTTTAAATATAAGAATATCTATTTAAATTTATGTATAAGAAGAATTCAGTACAAAATATTGATTATTAAGTGAAAGATCAATCTTAAAATTCAAATGCTATATCAAGCATTTATTCAACTTATTAGAGACTATAACAAGTGTGATTAACATTGTCAGTGTAAGAGTTGTGAATTTTGAATACGGTATCCAACAAAACATGAGAGAGAGACATACAATAGAGCACACTAATTAAATTATATCCCAAGCTTATCGAAATGTGATTAAAAAGTTGAAGTCAGATAAATAAATATATTAATATTTACTAAAAAAGATTCTAATGTAATTAATAAAAAAAAAGGATTAAATTGCATTAGCATGCTTTGCAAGATTTAGATAGATCTTACCTTGGCCGGCCTCATCGAGTTTCTTGCTCCGGTACATCTAAAATGAATAAAAGCATAATACGAATTATTATTTATGGCAATTAAACATGAAATATCTTTCCAGGGAAAAACTGTAATCTTATCAAAACCTCAGTTTTGTTGTTACCTGCAAATGACTCTTGACATGAGCAATGCTGAGTCCTCTCACGTTCATTAGCTGAAGCACCAACTTCGGTGTTGCTCCTGCACCAATTCATGCAAACATTTCAGCCTAATATTTTACGTCAAACAATTCTTTTAGTAGTAAAAATTTGTTAATAAAGAATGCAAATACTACTCTAACCCTATTACAAAAATCTTAACAACGTCATACCAGTTAGAAGAATAAATAAAGACAACCTACAACGAATAGAAAAAGAAGAACAAATAAACAACACTTGACCTTAACTAAATCAATAACATATATATGTATACTTACTCTCTTGACCTCCAAGCCTTTCAACAGCATGCACAAAGGAAAGATGAAGTTCAGGTGTCCAACGAAGCCTAGGCATCTTTGATCTAACATACTGTCTCACACCACCTCTTCGTTCACTATTTCCTTCCCTTGTTATGCTGCTACTTTTATTTGTTGAAGTACCTTCATCCTTAGCTTCCTCGTACCTCGTATCATTGCCCTTGCTATTATTTTCACTACTAGCTTCTTCATTCAGATCAAAGGATGAACACTTTTGCGATGATCCTATTGAACTGTCCTCAACCTGTTCATCACTCATCTCATATTCATCCGACATATTCGTTTGTTGTTGCTCAGGAATCAAATTCAACTCCCACTTCAATTCTTTACTGTGTACAAATTATGAATGCCATTCTGAAACAAAAACAAATATTTTATATAATATTAACAATATTAACAGAATTGTGACACGTCCGTAGTTTCTCTACAACATTTACGAAGCTTTAAAACTCATATAATATTATTATATCACAAGAAAAGAAAATCAGAAAGTAATGAACAGTTATGGCACATATAGCTGTAGTAGGTCAAAATTCAAGAATTTTAGTGTTAAAGTGCAACCAACTTGTTTACCGTGAAGCTGTGAATAAAATTTATGAGGATATGCCAAATTCAGATCTACATATTTAAGTTGAAAGGAATTAACTGAAGGGGTAGACGAAGAAATTTAGTGCTACTAAAACGATGTAAATTGTATGAACACACGCTTTAGTTAGCTTTAGGTCATGTCATTTCCTACTCAGGAAATATAACGATAAATATATTATTTTAATTTAATCACTGAAACAATAAATTTCAAAAGGTTCCTATATAAATATATATATTACGAGTTCAGGAGATTTACAAAACACACTCACATGATTATATCCATGAACTCACACAAATATTCATGTGTAAACATTGTGCAGTGAATAAAGAAAACCAGGATACAGACGAAGAGAGAGAATTTGTTCACCTGCGAGTTAATTAACATTTTATAATCGATTCTCTCCGTTTTATCTATACAAACGTTTTAGGACAAGAACAAGGTGCGACACTTGTCTCTTCAAAAAACAACCAGGGTTCTTATTCTAGATATTAAGAAAAGATGTACGATATCAAGAAAAAGGGTTATAGTTTTGCCCCTTGTGAAAGATAAATTCAAAAACACAGCTATCACCAGGAATAAAGCACATCTCAGTTAGGGAAATGCGGCTCTGAAGGAAGTATCCTGTGCTTTAAAATCTTTCTGCGAAATAGAAAACTTACGATTGACTTAAAAATCCTCAACAGACCGTGTATGCATAAATTTCAAGATGTTTCATAAGATAATGAAAAATTATATAGTTTTCAGGAAGTAATATTGGAGGGATTGTTTTATACATAATCATTAGAAACAAAGAGAAAGAAATAGTATTCATATATAATCATAAGAAACAAAGAGAAAGGTATTGATGATCCTAAGTCCACACAAAAAGGAGAAGGAGAAAGAAACCCACGAAAAGGGTGGATTATATAAACTGGTATCCTTGATGGTTTTGCCAAGAAATCAACAAAAGAAAAGAGAAAAGAATACTTGGATTTTGAGTGTTTCACCTTTTCCCCCTAAAGTAGCTCCATTCACGATGCTGATGTGACCTCTATAAATGAGTATATTGTTTCTTTTGCAAAGCTTATTGATCATATACGAAGCTGCTCTTAAATCGAAATTCCCAACATATATTCAGTGAGTCACCTGAGTGTGGCCATGGAAAGATTGAACTGAATTCAGTGTTGGTATTGGATGATGGTGTTCAGTGATATGTTTGGAGGGGGAAAGAAGGAGAGAGAGAGAGAGAGAGAGAAAGAACTGGTCTTTGTTTTGGCATATAATTCAGCAGCAGAATTAGAGTCATAAGTTTAAGATATTAGATAGGGTTTTATGAGAGGAAAGAAAAAGAAAGAAAAAAGAAAATTTAGAATCAACAATATTCGGACAGGCTACTTGTTCTCCTTAAATTGTAATAAACCTACATAATGGATACAGATGTTGCTGGTCCCTTTTCCACTGTTGCAAATCATGTGACAATTCCTACCTTTTCCCCTCTACCCTTTTCTCTCCCTTCCTTGACAGTTGTAAAAATCAATCTACCTCTCTGTCTGTCTCTAACTAGCTTCTCATAGCTCGTGATTATCTTAATTGTTTGACCTGTGCTAGGGACTTCTCACTTTTATGTTAATTCTCTCTCTCTCACACACACAATAATGTTCTTTCATTACTCTTTATTTTCTGTAAATTTATTTTACACATCAGGTTTATGACAGACAAATTAGAAAGGAAGAATGTGTTTTTTTTTTCTTATAAAAATGTAAAATATGAGTGATATATATGAACATATTGGTGTCAGTTTAATTGACCATGCTAGCTCCATATTCTTAATATAGGTGCATGTATGTTGTGGACCCCATTTTTAATCCACCTTTCATTTTCTTCCCACCTAAACTAAGACTTTGTTCCCATTTCAATACCACCATTTTTCTGTCCCAATAATGTGCATTTTCTCAATCCCTTCCCTCATATTATTTTTAAAATATCTCTCTCTTTTCCTTTTTTTTAAAATGCCATATGTTTCCACAAACTTCTTTGCTTTGTATGTGTAAATGTAACGTCTAATTTTTGGTTTTATGTATAGTATTAGACATTGGACAAACCTTACTTAATATAATGCAGTGATGTTGTAATGGGAGTGTGGTTATATATAAATAGTCAAATTTGGTGGGGAATGTGCAAAAATATTTCAATGACATGTACTATAGTTTATTTTTTAGGCCTTTTCAAGAGTAACTGATGCCAAAAAATATTCATTTCATAATATTGCAATATTTGACCAATTGTAATTTACTTTTCTAAGCGCATGCTTGAACTATATGACTGGAATCTTGACTCTAACTTTGAATGGTTCCATGCATGGGAAAGGAAAAGAAAAGACAATAGGTGTTTCTCCATTTACACAATATTGAAATAAGGAAGTCCAAAGTCCAAGCACTATATATATATATATTGTAAACAAAATAAATTAACAGTTGAACTCAACATAGTAATAGCCGAGGTAATTTAACCGTCTAAGATCCCACTTTTTAACCAATATAGTAATTTATTGTTGTTCAGAGAATCTGTAGGAAAAAGAGGATTTGTTAGGAAAATATTTGACAATTGAGGTTTCTTCTAAAGGAAATCTAGAAGCTGTAAGGCGAAATTGAAATTTATATCAACTTTATTGACTTCTGATGCACCCAACTCTTTTAATTTGTTGAATACCGCAACCAATATGTGGTTTAACTTAGTCACGTCTTTATCAATCCCTTATACCATTACTATTATTACCATTAACACCATTTTTCCTACTGCAGGTTTTTTCTTCAATCTTCAAAAAATACTCTTACTTCCATCGGATCACAACCCATCACAACTCAAAAGCTCACATTGCCAATTCTTCTTTATCTATCCATATATATATATATATATATATATATATATATATGTGTGTGTGTGTGTGTGTGTTAATTGCACACACAAATTCACACTGGAGTATTATATAAATTTTCATACAGCACTATTTGTGTACTTTTGCTGCATGAATTTTTGAAAAAAAAAAGTGCAGATACAATCTGTCAGTATATTTGGTTGCTATCAAAAGTAACTGTTTCAATGTTGAATTGATTGTGACTATTAGACATATCACGTGCTCCACTTTTATACATACATTATGTACCATTGTTATATATATATATATATATATATATATATATATATATATATATATATATATATATATTACAAACTCATTCATTTAGCTAAGGTTTAGCAAACGGTATAAACATCATAAACAGTATCCATTAGAGTGAAATTCACTGGTTTCATTTTTTCAGTAAACTTTAACCAATGATAAAAGAAATGTTACTTATATGTTTTAGGACAAAAAAAGTCTAACATAATTGATAGATAAATGCGTTCGTCAAATAAATTAATGGATTGAAGGTCTCTTTAGTAATAAATATTAATGGATAAGGATTTGATTTTCGATAACATTCATATATGGAGAATTAAACTATATTAAAGTTACGTTAAGAGAACAATTTTTCAGTTGTCATATTTTTATTTTCTTTTTTCTTCTGTATAATGTGTATGAATGAATTACTCAATCGAAGTAACAGATTGAAATAAATAATAAGGATGAGTAATTCAATCACTGAATTAGTTGTTAAATTCTCTTAGTAACCTCTAGAATTAAAAAAAGGATGAATAATCCGTGGTTAAGAATTGATGAGATAAAGAAGGCAGGAGAAAGAGAAGGATGAAAAAGATGCGGAATGGCAGTGTCTGAAATCAGAAACCAAACAAAGAAAACATGTCTCTCCCATAAGATGTGCTGATCATAAGGGCACAAATTTTGATGAGTCTGTGTCGGAAAAGGACAAAGAGGGGATGTAGATTGGGACAACGTTGGAATCAGCAGGGAAATTAGGTTTAGCTAGATACCGTCCAAAGCTCGTTTTTCGTGGCATGTGCATAGATATAAAATTTGAGCCCATGCTCACAGTGAGAGTGTTAGGGAGAGAGAAAGAGTGATGACAGATATTCGAAGAATTAAAGTAAAGAGTTTGGCAGAGACAAAATTACGTGGAAAGAAGAGAAACAGGAAAACCTATGAATAGAAGAGATTAAGAAATTTAAAAGCATTGGGTTGGTTTTGTCCTCACGTTTGCATGAGAGTTGACATTTGATGATATATTAAACATGATAAGAATCTTTCAAAGAATTAGGGCTATTTTTATACCATTTCATGGATGAGGACGTCCAACCTAGCATTACATTATTATTATGTACACTGACATACCTCACCATACACAACTATAAAATACTTCATCATATTAAGCATTTTTTGATTCACCCATAAAGGAGAATCATGTCTTGTAACAGCCACAGAAAAAACTGTTTTATATATCAATTATCTCCCAAGCTTTTATCCCCTTCTGCTATATATGGAATCATGCAGGATGTTGCATCACCCACGAATCAATGTCTAGTCAAAATAATTTCAATATTTTGCCGTAAACTTCCAAACACCTTTAGTTTACCAATCATAACGGATGATCAATTTCGAAACCATGGTGAATGCACGTTAGTCACAGTACACATACACAATAACTATACGTATTTTGTTAAATATCTTTATAGTGTATATGACTAAGACATTCGATACCTTAAAAACGTAAGGATAAATTCAATTTAAACTCTCTATTAATTTATTATCACATTCTATATTGTTCCTACAACATCAATAATCTTACATTATTAAAGTCGAGATACTTTAAATATTTTTTCTAAAAGTGTTTTTTAAAAGTAAAATTTTGACAAACAAAACTTTAAAACGGACAATACTTTAAATATATGATATCATTTATGTCATTTGGTGACTTAAGATCAAAATATTAACACTTACCTGAAAACTATAACAAAATATATCATATTAAATAGATTTATTATTATGCTACTTGAAATCATTCACAAATATTTAAATTTACACATGAAATATACATGCTTAAATTTAAAGGAGTAAAAAAATTTAAATCAATTAAAAATAAAATTAATTTACAACATATAACATATAAATTGAGATAATCTATATTATTTAAAAATTAACTCTTGAATTTTATCGGAAGTTGTTAATTTCTCAGTTAATTAAAAAAGGTTGTTAAAATATATCAACTCCTCCAATAATTTATCTCTTTTATCTTTTTATTTTTAACCATATCCACACAAAAATCTTGCAATAATTTATATTGGCGAAGAAAGTTCGTCTTAAAAAGCATTGTGTCTCAATAAATCCAACTATATAGTTGTTGAAACTTGTAAGTATGGCAAGTAACTACAATTATGGCGGTCCCTTGGTAGTTTCAAGCACATGTTAATTAAGAACATTGAAATTATACACAATGAAATTTAAACATTTTAATCAACGTTATATATTATATGAGTCCAAAAAATAATCACCGTTATATATTTGGTTTAGAGTATACTTTCCATCTTATCTCTTTTTTATCTGAATAATCAATATTTAAAAGAAACCCTCGAAAAATGAGGTATACTTCAATAGTTCAATCTATGATTTTTCTAATTTAAACCTTTTAAGGTATTTGTTTTATAAAACAAAAAAACGTGTATTATTTTTTGGATTTAATTGGATTACCTCCCCTGAGCCACTCAGAAAATCCATAAAAGAATACGCCTTTAGGGTTAGTTTTGGTTTGGATGGAATTTAATTTAAAAAAAATATTTCATGGCATAAAACAACTTATAAAATAATATGGGGGAGAATAGTTTACAGAAATTCCAGCACGGGCATATCATTTTTCAATGTTAACTTATGATTTTAATTCTTAGAATTTAAAGTATATCTAATTTTGGTTTCCCAAATTTTAGAAAACCATTTATTTGATGTAGAGTTAAATAAAATGAATATTGAGAAAAACCAGAGAAAAATACCAATCGAACTTAATGTGTAGTATAAAAATCAATTTAAAGTTGTACTTTATGCAAACTTTAAAGGCCTTCGTATAGTTGAATTCGGATTGTGTATATATACACGTTTAAAGACTTTAAATCTAGCTTGTGTGCACATTTTTAATTTGTAGTGGTGTTATTTGATTAATTTAATTGCTTACTTTTGTGAATATGGTTGGGTATGTTGTAATCTTTTTCTAGGTTTCCACTTTTCAAAGGTTGTAGATTAAATTTCCTATTTACAATTACCTAATAAAAAAAACACATGGATAACTTTGATTTAAGAGCGTTATTAGAGAGAACTATTTGTTCCTTTTTTTAATTAGTTAAAATAAGTATGGATAAATGGAGGATTATATTTAATTAGAAAAAATGTTTGGGGTCTCTATTTCTTATAAAAAGAAATTAGTCAGCATAAATATATTTTACAAATTTTCTATTTAATTCCTATTCTTTACAAATAATATGTTTTCTCC